AAAGGAGCAAAGACAATCAATGGATAAACGATAATCTTTTCACCAAAATGCAATGGAACAACTGGATATCCAGTTGCAAAAAAATAAACCTAGACACAGACCTTACCCCTTTCGAAAAATTAACTCAAAATGGATTGTAGATCTAAATGTAAAATGCAAGTCTACGAAACTCCTAGAAGATTACATTGGAGAAAAACTAGGTGACCTTGGGTTTGGCAATGAGTTTTAGATATAACATCAGAAACACAATCCAAAGAAAAAACTGATAGACAGAACTTCATGAAACTGAAAAACATGCTCTGTGAAAGATACTGTCAAGAAAATGAAAAAGGCCACCGACTGGGAAAAAGTTTGCAACAGGACTCTGATCCAAATTATGCAAATAACTCTTAAAATTCAAGAATAAGAAAATGAAAAACTCAATTAAAAAACAGACAAAAGATCTGAGCAGATACTTCACCAAAGAAGATATACAGATGGCAAATTAAGCACGTGAAATGATGCTCAATGTTATACGTCATTAGGGAATTGCAACTTAAAACAATAATGAAATATCACCACACACCTATTAGAATGGCTAAATCCGAAAATCTAGTATGTCCATACAAAAACCTGCACATAAATACTTATAGAAGCATTCTTCATAATTGTCAGAACCAAGATGTTCTTCAATAGGTGAATGGATAAACCATAGCATGTCCATACAATAGAATATTATTCAACAGTAAAAAGAAATGAGCTATGAAGTCATGAAAAAACAGGAGAATCTTACATGCATATGTCTAAGTCAAAGAAGCCAGTCTTAAAGGCTAGGTATTGTATGATTCCAACTATACAGTTATATATTCTGGAAAAGACAAAGCTATGGAGACAGTAATAACACTGGCTGCCAAGGGCTAGAGGGTGGGTGAGGAATTAATAGAATAGGTAAAGCACAGGGGATTTTTAGGGCAGTGAAACTATTCCATATGATACTATAATTGTAGGTACCTGACATTATATATTTGTCAAAACCCACATAACTGTTTAACAAAAAGAATGAAGCCTAACTTACGCTGTAGACTTTAGTTAATAATAATGTATCAATATTCATTCATTGATTATAACATGTAACACACCAATGCAAAATATTAATGATAGGGGAAACTGTATGTGTGTGTTTGTAGAGGAGGTTTAGGGGAGCTCTCTGTCCTTTCTGTTCATTTTTTTCTGCTTTTTCTGGAAAAAAAAAAAAAGTGTATACTATAAAAAAGTATATCCTGAAGTCTTGCTCCCATGCTATCCACATCCACTCAGCCTCCCACCAACTTAATAATTTTTATCTTTTGTATATCCTTCCAGAATTCTCTGGAAATACTAATATGAACATACATTATCATGCCCTTTTTTGAAAAACAAAAAATAGCATGTAATACATATGGTTTTGCCTTTTTCATTTAATAGTATGTTTGGAGATCATTCCATATCAGAAAGAGCTACCTCCTTCTATGAAAGATGCCTTAGCTTTTACTGTAGAAGTGAAACATAATGTATTAAGCAGTCCCTTACCAACAGGCACCAAAGTTGTTGCCAATCTTTTGTTTTTACAAGTACACATGTCATTTTGAAAGTATGCAATTCTATCTGCAAGAAATTATTTAAGGGACTTCCGGTAAGATGGAGGAATAGGCAGACAAGTGACACACACCCTCCTCAACAAAGAAAAGAAAAACCAATTGACAGAGATACAGAAGATAATCCTGGAGCTCTGAGCTTTGAAAGGAACTGTACAGAAGTGGATTAGGCACCAACTAGCGGAAAAACCTGAACTAAAACAGTGAGTACAGAGATGGTCAGCACTGTGGACTGCCAGCTACTCTGATGGGACCAACAGCCTGAAAATTTCCAAGTGGTGTTGAGGCCTGAGAATTGACCTAAAGATCAGCCCTGGTCACCAAGGGCTGCAGGGACAACTGTGCTGGTGGCCTATGACTAGGAAGGGAAACAGCAAGGAGGGAGACAATCTGAGCTGTTGACTTTCCACTGTCTGGAGAGCGCAGCCATTTTGATTGTTTACACGTGGCAGCCATTTTGGGTATTTAAAGTGACCGAGGGCATAGCCATTTCGAATCTTTACAAGTGGCAACCATTTTGGATTTTAAAGTGATAGTATTCTCAGTCAGATTCCAGGGACCTAAAAATGGGCTCTGTTTGCCAAGGTTGGCAGACACATACAAGAAGCTAAACAAGAAAGGAGACAGGTGGTGAGTGTATAAGTGCTGTCAACTAGTGCATAGAGTAACACAGCACAGTACCCTGCTTGTGTAGATAACATAAAACAAAACAAAGAAAATGAAAATCATGGGCAAGTCACTCCAATTTACAATCACCAGTTAAATATAAACACAAAAACGTCACAATGCCTCAGAGACAACAAAGCATCACAGTCCACACAAAGAAGCAAGATAAAGCAGGAGAAACAAGGGACCAGGATATAGACCCAAAACATATCCCTGAGGAAGAAGCAGCATTGGAACTCCCTAATAAGGAATTCAAAACAATTATATTTAGGTATCTTCAAAGGATTGAGAAACAGATCAATGAAAATAGACAACACCCTAGAAGAATTTCGAAAGACAATACAAGAAAAAAATGACAAAATAAATGAAAAATTAGAAATGATACAAAATCTACAGATAGAAATCCAGAAGATTAATACTAAATTGTCAGAAATAGGTAACACATTGAAACGGCAAGGGAGTAGAATTGATGCAATGGAAGACAGAATTAAAGAGATTGAAGACAAATACCTGACTATTTCTTTGGAAAGGGATCAATCAGAAAAAAAGATCAAAATAAAATGAAGAAAGCCTAAGGTTCATGTGGGATACCATCAAAAGGAATAACTACATGTCATTGGAATTCCAGAACAGGAAGAGAAAAATAAAACCACTGAGAAAATTGTCCAAGATTTGTTGGAGGAGAACTTCTCTGATATGATGAAAGATGAGAATATATCCATTCAGGAAGTCCAACAAACCCCAAACAGGACAGACCCCAAAGAAAATCACCAAGACACATCATCATCAAACTCACTAAAACCAAAAACAAAGAAAGAATCATGAAAGCAGCATGGGAAGAACAAAAAGTTACCTACAAGGGGCAATCAATAAGACTAAGCTCAGATTTCTCAACAGAAACCATGCAGGCGAGAAGACAATGGGATGGTATATATAAAACACTGAAAGAAAAATTCCCAACCAAGAATTATGTACCCAGCAAAATCGTCCCTCAAATATGATGGTGAAATTAGGACATTTCCAGATAAGCAGAAATTAGGGGAATTTGTTAAAACCCGACCAACCTTACAAGAGATGCTAAAGGGAGCCCTTTGGACAGAGAAGCCACAACAGCAAACAACTGACCATTAACACACATGATGATATAACCCAGAAACCAACCCAGCTATGGAAATATCCAAAGAAGCCTACAAGATTGCAAACAGGGAACCAGAGACATCAATTGACAAATGAGGACAACTACAAACCAAAAAGAGAAAAAACCTGTGTCACTATAGAACTTCTAGATGGTAGGGATGTAAAGACAACTATAAGATAGAATGGACTGTTCTAAATGTGGGAAGAAAACTGTAAATCACAGGGTAACCTTAAAGAAAATAATAAACCGTTCACATCAAAATAAAAAAGAGGACCAACACAAATATTTAGCAAATACTAAAACAATAGCAACAAAGGAAGTGATTCATAAACAAAACGAGCTCAGCATAGAAAATTACATGGAACAAAGAAATCGACACTACAAAAAAGCACATAACAAAAATGACAGCAACAAATTCATATTTGCCGATAATTACCTATTTGGCAAGGGACTTATCTCTTAAGATTTATAGAAAACTCCACCTCAACACAAAAGAAATTAACAATCCAATTGAAAAATGGGCAGAAGACATGAATAGACACTTCACTAAGGAAGATATTCAGGTGGCCAGCTAATACATGAAGAGATGCTCACAATCATTGGCCATCAGAGAGATGCAAATCAAAACAACAATGAGATACCGTCTCACCCCAGCACTGATGGCAAGGTTCAACAAGACAGAAAAGAACAAATACTGGCGGGGATGTGGAGAGATTGGGACTCTCATACACTGCTTATGTGACTGTGAAGTGACACAACCACTATGGAAAGCAATATGGCGATTCCTTAGAAAACTGGAATTGGAGATATCATTTGACCCAGCAATCCCATTACCAGGTATATATCCTAGAGAGGTGGAGACAGGACAGGAACAGATATATGCACACTCATGTTCATCGCAGCACTATTTACAATAGCAAAAAGATGGAAACAACCTATGTGCCCATCAGGGTAAGAGTGGATGACCAAACTATGGTACATACATGTACTGGACTGCTACACAGCGCTAAAGAATAACGAAGAGTCCTCAAAACACTGCATAATATGGATGAACTTGGAGGACATTATGCTGAGTGAAGTAAGTCAATCACAGAAGGACAAACATAGTATTAGTTCATTGTGGAGGGTCAAGGAAAGGTTTACATATGGAGGGAAACTTTCTTTGTGTTGCCAGGGATAGGAGGGGGAGGGAACACTGCAAACAAATAAACAAACAAATAAACAAACAAAAAATTCATTGACCCATGTCACTTTAGTTTCGTGCATTTCACTGTACATAAATTATATTTCAATAAAATGCATTAATAAAGAAATTATTTAAAATAGAATAACTGATCCTAAGAATATATAGATTGCTAATTTTGGTGGATATTGCCAAATTGTCCTCTATAACGTTATGAGGTATAGCCCCCAAAGCAATCACAAGCCTCCAGTCATGGCATAACAGAATATTCTCAGCTCGATACTATAGATGTAACTTTTTACTGGAGAATGAAGGGGCACAAGAAACATACATGAGTTCTCATCATCTTCACATAGAAACACAAAAGTTTAAAGTTGCATTACTTTAACATAAGTCTTACCTAGTTGAAATTCAGTCTTGGGCTTGATGGGTGGAAGTTTATATTGCCATTCAAAAGTATTGGGGTAGGAGCTCACAGGCTTAGAAAGCCCAGATAAAAGCTTGAGAATCAATGTATCATCCCATGGGTTTTCAACAATTAAATCTTATGGGGGGGAGGGGAGAAAAAGGAGATAAAAACTCAGTATTCAATAATTTTACCAAAGAAGGTTTAGACAAAGCAAGTGGAGACACTCATTAAATAAGCTTTCAAAAGCCTTATCCTTTAAGGAGCATTGTTTAAAAGTTAGAATTGGTACTTGGTCACAGTTAATCATTTGCGGTCTTAGATCTAGAAATTTAGACCAATGTTAATTGTGACAAAAGACATCAGCACCAGGAGCTGTGGTGTGGTGGGAGGTGGAAGAGCATTCTATTGTTATTAGGCTGTTCTCTGCTGTCTTGCTGCAGGACCATTCATTCTGCTCACCTGGAAATGCTGGATTCTGCCTTTAACACTAGGGTATGAGTTATAGGCAGACATTAGTTCTCTGATGTGCTCAGATAGCTAGGCATTCTTTAAGTTGCTTTTCTACTTATATGCACAGAACACACTGCATCTTAATACTTAGGTTACCTTCATGCAAATGGTATAGATGAGATTCACTGTGGGTGTATAAATGCAAAATCATTTTTAATGGAAAAGTATGTATGATATGCATATTTATATAGCTATGCGTTTTGAATGCATTTGCCAATTGAATTACCAAAAATGTAGATGACAAAAAAAAAGCCTGAAAATAATAAATTCTGACTAAAGAAAAGTGTTTCTCTCCAACGTAGAATATTATAAAACTATTCATAGCAGCAATCAGAGGCTGCTATAACATGGTTAACTCTTATTTACTGCTAAGCATGTGCATGATATTGTTCTAAGTGCTTCACATTTATCACTGTACTAAGTTCTTACAAAAGTTCTGAGGTCAGTACTAAACTCACTAACATCAAGTCAATATTGTTTCATAGTGACCCTGTAGGACAGAGTTTAACTGCTCCATAGGGTTTCCAAGATGGTGATCTTTATGGAGACAGACTGACACATCCTTCTTCCATGAAGCTGCTAATCGGTTTGAACTGCCAACCTTTCAGTTAGCAGCTAAGCACCTAACCATTGCTCTACCAGTGCTTCCATCATCATATCACTTTGGAGGAAGGGAAAAAGAGACATAAGAGCTGAGATGGTTTTGGCCAAGCTCACATGTTTACTTAAGTAGGGGAGCAAGGGTTAGAACCCAGCCAGTCTATCTCCAGAGTCTGTGCTCTTAACTACTGTGCAAAACCGTTTCTGTGTAACAGTGGGTATTTTCCTTAACTCTAAGCCTCAACTGATTTTCTGTAAAATGTGGTTAACAGTATTAAATTAAAAATGCCTAGGCCCTTAAATTCTATTTTCTTCTCAAACAGTCATTATTTTGTTGTTGTTGTTGTTATGTACCGTCGAGTCGCACCCGACTCATAGTGACCCCTCCTTGGGTTTCCTAGGCAGTATCACTACAGAAGTAGATTGCCCCATCTTCCTTCCGAGGAGTGGCTGGTGGGTTTGAACCACCAGCCTTCTGGTTAGCAGTCAAATGCCTTAGCCACTATGCTACCAGAGCTCCCATATTATTTTGTTATCTTTTAAAATTAAAAATGGAGGAACTTTCCCTTCGAGGATGCCACAGTTGCACTGCACTGTGATGTAGTTATGCTAGTTATATCTGAAGTTGTGTTCCACCAAATGACATTCAAGCCCAGGTTCTCTGAGTTTCATTCATGGAACAGATTTTCACATGCTATTGTCCTCATTCAGAAACATAATGAAGATTGAGTATCTGTTCATACTTAAAGCATCGACATTTCCAACTGAACTGCTCTGCATTGGTTCTGCTTGGAGCCCAGCATTGGCACCCGGTGGATCCTCCTCCATGGCAAGAGCAGGGTCTGTGAGTTTACAAGCCTCGAGGCTCTGCTCTGCCTCACTGGTAAGCACATCACCTGCAGCAGGCTGGCTCATCTTGAGCAAGGAGGCTGAAGGCACGTCTGTAGATAATGCTTGTTCTGGGCTTTTTTCTTGAACTGGACTGGATGTGAGATTGGGACAGAGAAGAGTGAGGAAATAAACAAAAAACAAAATACCATGTGACTAGAAGACTGTTAGACTTTAAAAATTTCCTTTTTATTCCAGAACTGAAAAACTGCCTCACAAAATGAGTTTATTAAAGCATTTTCTTTAGATAACAAATGTATGTAAATACAAATACACAGTTAATACAATATAAACAGATCTAAAATCAAAGGAACAGTGATACATTAGATAAATAGGTGAGGTGATACAGTGGATATTCTTTAGTGGGAAATGTCAGGATGAATGGATTTATTTTCCCCAAGTTGTCATCTATTACTATACTATACTATATATCTATTACTACTATACTATACTATACATTACTATAATCAAAACCAAATATTTAACTTTCAATCATAGTTCTATAATCTAACATCTGGTATATTTTAATGCATACACACACACACAGACACACACAAACACATGCATATATATACTACACACATAAATATATATACATATGAATTTATACAGGAGCTCTGGTAGTGTAATGCCTAAGGCACTTGACTGCTAACCAGAAGGCTGGCAGTTCAAACCCACCAGCCACTCCTAGAAAGGAAGGTTGGGCAATCTACTTCCGTAGTGATACTGCCTCAGAAACCCAAGAAGGGGTTGCTATGAGTCAGGTTTGACTTGACGGCACATAACAACAACAACATGAATTTATATGTGCAATTTCATATGTTGCTTTTTCACTTGTCACAGATGTATTTCCTACTATTCTTTCTTCCTTTTATTCATTCTCTCCTTTATTTCTTTCTTCTTCCTGCTCCCTTCCTTGTTACAGATGTATTTCCTACTATATATATATATATATATATATACACACATATATATATACATACATATATATTTAAACCTTTTACTTTGGAATAATCAGTTTTAGATTTAAAGAAATGTTGCAAAGATAATAGAGAATTCTCATATACTCCTCACCTAGTTTTCCATAATCTTATCATCTTCCATTACCATGGTATATCTTTCTAAAATGAATGAACTAAACTTCAGACCTGACCAGATTTCACCAGTCTTTTCTGCTCTAGGATCCATTTAGGATACCATGTTACATTTAGTTGTTATGTCTCATGTTGTTCTCATCTGTGAAGTTTCTGTCATTCCTAGCAGTCTTGAGGAGTACTGGCCACGTATTTTGTAGACTATCCTTCAGTTTGGGTTTCTCTAATGTTATGAGTCATGAGGACATGATTAAACTAGGCTTATGGGTTTTGGGGAAGAATATCAGAGAAGAAGTGCCCTTATCCTATCAGGGGCACATGACATCAACATGACGTCACTGTTGAGGTGATTACTAAGTAAAGGTGGTGTCTGTCAGGTGTCTCCACTATATTATGACTGTACATCATTTAATCCAGTGGACATATACAAGCACACAACTGTATGCTTCTTAGATACTGAAAATATTCCCAATGTTTTATACTATTAAAAAACAGACAATATCTACACACACTGAAAAGTTGTTTCCAAAACCATGTCCTTTGCTACCAGCAACCTGAGTGCCCAAATTACTGTGAGTACATGAATGATGAAGAAAATCCTTTCCCCTTCTGTGTGACAGTCTGACTTTTGTTTAACTTTCTAGCTTTTATTTGAAAAGGCAGAATGCCACTCTCTTACCATTGTTTTTGGTACAAACAACACTCTGGTAAATTGTATCTGCATTGGACAATTATAAATACCTACTGGGCAGCCATAGTTTCAAGCTTTCATGAGTGTGAGGACTCTCCTATGGGTCTGCCCCTTGTGGAGAACCTGGAAGCTAAATCTCTGGCGTGTTTTAAAGAGCTATTGACCTCTAAAGAAATGCTTCTGGGCTAGGGAAGCTCTGGCAGCTGGACCTATGTGAGTCTTTCCTTGCAACTGAACTGTCACCCAGGGTCAAAAAAAGAGAAAAGGTCCTTGAACAGTGGGCATCCTGCTCACAACTGATTCTTGCCTTAGATCCTTCTAAGTTAATCTTATGCCAAGTGTAGCCTATAGAAGTCTGTGAGTCTAAAGATGTTGAACACAGAAAGACTACTGGCAGGCAACGTAGACTGTGCTAGTTGGGTAAAATTTTTAAATTAAAAAGCAAAATTTGTTTAATTTGCATTAATTTTATTGAAAACCATTTTTTAAAGATGTTTATTAATTATTTTTTCCTTTTGTAAATTGTGCTCATGTCGTTTATCCGTTCATTTATCTCCGGATCTTAGTTCAGATAATACTTTCAATGAAAAGTTTTTGATACTAAGTGTCAGTATAATGTAGTGGTGAGAGTTGTTGTTGTTGTTGTTATGTGCCGTCGAGTCGGACCCGACTCATAGCGACCCCTCCTTGAGTTTCTGAGGCAGTATCACTACTGAAGTAGATTGCCCCATCTTCCTTAAATGCTGCGAAATCAGACAAATATGGGCTTAAATTCCAGTTCTGCCACTTAGAAGTTGTATGACTTTAGATCATAGTTGTATGACTTTAGCCCTCCTGAGACATGGCTTCTTCATCTATAATGGAAGGGAAAAATAGTTCCTGCCACTAAAGTTATTGGAAGGCTTACTGGAAGTTATTGGAAGGCTTAATTAAAGAATACTAACATGAATCGCATTAACACCTGGAATATAAGTACCCCAAAGATGGTAGCTACTTTTTCTTATCTACTACCTTTAATAGTCTATTCAAATATGGTGGAATTTTACTTCTGCAAAGAATTAATTTATGGCAAAGCTGCATTTTGCAACACTATCAAAGAAGCTTAAGCATTTCTTTCACCTCCTCTTGAAAGAAACTTGTCAACTTCTTTAATTATAACGAGAACAAAGAAGAAATTAGGTGCTCGCTCAGTTCTGCAACAGTAAGGATGGCAAGAGTATTGCAAGGTCTGCTCCCCAAATGAGTAGAAGTTGATCACAAGATAATGCTCTCCCAGAACCCCTCTAGGACCCCAGCCCTTCTCTCTCTGTACTGGTTGTCAAGTTTCTAGCGTTATCACTGTTTATATCTACACAAAGTACTCTCTGGCTTAAAATTAAAAAAAAAACAAAAAAAAAAAACCCAAACCAAACTGTATTAACCTTTAAGGGCTAGACTTAGGTATTTTATTACATTTAAAAATCTACACTAGGATGGAAATGGAGAAAACAATAGAACTATGTAAACGCTCACGATACCTGAACTTTTTGGTGTCTGAGGGCTCCACCAGGTTTTCTTCACAAGAATCCAAAATCATGTGGGTGCACTGTTTTGCTACCACATTTTCTGAAATACAAAGAGAATCATAGATAAATACATTATAAACACACACATACACAATTTGGTATGGTTACAATGTCTGGGATTCCTTTCTATACCGACTTTTACTATGATTTCAAATTGTGTTCCTATGGTAAAATGTGCTATTGTTGTTAGGTGTTGTCGAGTCAGTGCAGACTCAGTAACCCATGTACAACAGAACAAAATACTGACCGATCCTGTTTGAGCCCATTGTTGCAGCCACTGTGTCAATCCATCTCATTGAGAGTCTTCGATACTGATCTTCTACTTTACCAAGCATAATGTCATTCTGCAGAGACTAGCCTCTTCTGATAGTAAGTCCAAAGTACAGGACAAGAAGTCTCGCCATCCTGGCTTCCAAGGAGTATTCTAGCAGTCCTTCTAAGACAGACATGTTCATTCTTCTGGCAGTCCACAGTATATTCAAAATTCTTTAACACAATGCATAATACAAAGGCATCAATTCTTCTTTGGCTTTCCTTATTCACCGCTCAGCTGTTACATGCATATGAAGTGATTCAAAATAACATGGCTTGGGTAAGAGTCATCTTTGTCCTTAAAGTGACATTTTTCCTTTTTTAACACTTTAAATAAATCTTTTGCAGAAGATTTGTCTGGAATATGTCACTTGATCTCTTGACTGCTGCTTCCATGGGCACTGATTATGCATCTAAGTAAAATGAAATCTTACAACTTCAGTCTTTTCTCCATATATCATGATGTTACTTATTGATCCACTTGGGACAACTTTTGTTTTATGTTGAGGTGCACTCCATACTGAAGGCTATATTCTTTTATCTTCATCAATAAGTACTTCAAGTCCTCTTCACTTTCAGCAAGCAAAGGTGTGTCATCTGTATATCATAGGTTGTTAATGAATCTTCCTCCAATCCTAATCCTGCATTCCTCTTCAGCTAGTCCAGCTACTCAGAATACCTGCTCAGCATACAGATAGATTAAGTATAATGAAAGGATACAACCCTGATAAACACCTTTCCTGATTTTAAACCACACAGTTTCCCTTTGTTCTCTCCAGTGACTGCCTCTTGGTCTATGTACAGATTCTGCTTAAGCACAATTAAGTGTTCTGGAATTCCCATTCTTTGCAATATTATCCATAATTTGTTATAATCCACACAGTCAAATGTCTTTGCACAGTCGATAAAACACAAGTAAGCATCTTTCTAGTATTCTCTGCTTTTAGCTAAGATCCATCTGAGATCAGCAATGACATCCCTCATTCTATATGCTCTTCTGAATCCAGTTTGAATTTCTGGCAGTTCTCTGTTGATGTACTGCTACAACTCTTTCTGAATTATCTTCAGCAAAATTTTATGTTGTTGTTATTGCTAGGTGCTGTCATGTCGTTTCCGACTCATAGCGACCCCATGTACAGCAGAACGAAACACTGCCCAATCCCACGCCAGCTCCATGATCCTTGCTATACTTGAGCCCACTGTCGCAGTCACCATGTCAATCCATCTCATCGAAGGCCTTCCCCTCCTTCGTCGACCCTTCACCTTACCAAGCATGACATCTTTCTCCAGGAAATGGTCCCCTCTGACAACACGACCAAAGTAAGCCATCTTTGCTTCTAAGGAGCATCTCGGCTGCACTTCCTCCATGACAGATTTGTTAGTTCTTTTGGCACATATTACCTTCAGCATTCTTCGCCAGCACCACAACTCAAAAGCATCAACTCTTCTTCAATATGATATGATATGATTTGATATGGTTACATGCAAAATTTTATATGCATGTGATATTAATGATATTGTTCAATAATTTCTGCATTCTGTTGAATCACTTTTCTTTGGAATGGGCACAAATATAGATCTCTTGCAGTTGGTTGGCCAGGTAGCTGTCTTACGAATTTCTTGCCATAGATGAGGGAGCACTTTCAGCATTGCATACATTTGTTGAAATATCTCAACAGGTATTCTGTCAATTTTGGGAGCCTTGTTTATTGTCAATGTATTCAGTGCAGTTTATTCCTTCAGTACCATTGGTTCTTGATCCTATACTACAACCTGAAATTGAACATCGACCTTTTTTTTTTTTAAATGACTGTATTCTTTCCAGCTTCTTTTGATGCTTCCAGTGTTGTTCAACATTTTGCCCACAGAGTCCTTCAATATTACAACTTGAGGCTTGACTTTGTCTTCAGTTGTTTTAGCTAGAGGAATGCTAAATGTGTTCTTGCCTTTGGTTGTCTAACTCCAGGTCTTAACACATTTCATTACTTTACTTTGTCTTCTCAAGCTGTTCTTTAAATCTTCTGTTCACCTCTTTAATTTCTTCCATTCACTGTAGCTACTCCACATTCAAGAGCAAGTTTTAGGGTCTCTTCTGCATCCATGTTGGTCTTTTCTTCCTTTCCTTCTTTTTAATAGCGTTTTGCTTTCTTCATGTATGATGTCCTTGATGTCATCTTACAACTCATCTGGTCTTTAATCATTAGTGTTCAATGTGTCAAATCTATTCTTGAGATGGTTTCTAAATTGAGGTTGGATATACTCAAAGTTATACTTTGGCTCTTGTAGACTTGTTTTAATTTTCTTTAGCTTCAACTTGAACTTGCTTATGAGCAATTGATGGTCTGTCTTGTAGTCAGACCCAGGCCTTGTTCTGACAGATGATAATTGTCTCTTTCCACAAATATAGTTGATTTGATTCCTGTGTATTCCATCTGGGAAGGTCCATTTGTATAGTTGCTGCTTACATTGTTGAAAAAAGTATTCCCAACGAATAAGTTGTTGGTCTTGCAACATGCTGTCATGATGTCTGATGTCATTTCTTTCACCAAGGCCATATTTTCCAACTGATCCTTTGGTGTTTCCAACTTTTGCATTCCAATCACCAGTAACTATCAATGCATTTTGAATGCACATCTGATCAATTTCAGAACTGCCAATGCTGGTACAAATCTTCAGTTTCTTCCTCTTCGGCATTAGTGGTTGATTATAAATTTGAATAATATTCATATTAACTGGTTTTCCTTCTAAGTGTAGGGATTTTATTCTGTCACTGATAGCACTGTACTTTAGGCTAGTCTTGAAATGTTTTTTTTTTGATGATGGCTGATGCTGCTCCTCATCAATTTTTCATTCCTGGCTGTTATGGTTTGGTTTATGTCCTCTAAAAATATGTATTGTAAGTCCCAACCTCTATGCCTTTGGTTATAATCCCACTTGGGAATGGTCTGTCCTTTTTATGTTAATGTGGCGGGATTAGTATAGGGTATATGCTGAGTTAATCTCTTTTGAGATGTAAAAAAAAAAAAAGATCAAACATTTCAGCAGAGCAGAGATGGGGTGAAATAGATGCCAAGACACATGAAGATAGCCAAGGAACCAAGAAGCAGAAGCTGAGGAGACAAGGACCTTCCTCCAGAGCCAAAAGGAAGAGAAAGCCTTCCACTAGAGCTTGTGCTCTGAATTCAGACTTCTAAAAAATAAATTTGTTAAAGCTCTACTTGTGGGCTTTCTGTTATAACAGCACTAGATAACAAAGACATCATCACAGTAGACCATATTATTGTCCAATTCAAAATGGCCAATACCATTCTATTTCAGCTCACTAATGTCTAGAATATCCATCTTCAAGCATTCCATTTCATTTTTGACAAATTCCAATTTTCCATGATTCAAACTTTGTACATTACATGTTGCAATTACTCATAGCAACCCCTCCTTGGGTTTCTGAGGTGGTATCACTATGGAAGTAGATCGCCCAATCTTCCTTCCGTGGTTCTTACTTCTGGTTAGCAGTAAAATGCCTTAGGCATATGCTACCAGAGCTGCTGTGCTGCAATTACTAATGGATATTTGCAGTTGTTTCTTCTCATTTTGAGTCATACCACATCAGCAAATGAAGGTCCTGAAGGTTTTATTCAAGCTATGTTAAGGTCGACTCTACTTTGAGGAAACAGCTCTTTCTCAGTTGTATTTTGAACATCTTCCAACCTGAGGGGCTCATATTCTAGGACTATATCAAATAATAAGGAACTCTGGTGGCATAGTGCCTAAGGCATTAGACTGCTAACCAGAATGTTGGTAGTTCAAACCCATCAGCCACTCCACAGAATTAAGACTGGGCAATCTACTTCTGTAAAGATTTACCACCTTGGAAACCCAAAGGGGGTTGCTATGAGTCAGAATTGACTTGATAGCAGTGAGTTTGGTTTGTTTTTGGTATGTCAATGGTCCACAGCTAGCTGTAAGGTTTTCATGGGCCAATTTTCAGAACTAGATCACAAGTCCTTCTTCCTAGTCTGTTTTATTCTGGAAGTTCCCTTGCAACCTGTCCACCATGGGTGACTCTGCTGTTTAAAATATCAGTGGCATAACTTCCAGCATCACAGCAACATGCAAGCCACCACAGCATGAGAAACTGACAGCAGAGTGGTGGAAAATATGCTGTAAGATTTTATAAATGGAGAAAACCACTTAAAAATTCTACTATTAATATATATTAGCATTTAAACTTTATATGTATAATACATTAACATCATTTCAGGAAAAAAAGGATCCAGAGAGTGGCACAAAATAGGGCAGAGATGCAGAATAAACTTCTACCAAGTGATGCTAACATTGGATTAAATTTTATCAGCTACTGCCTCAGTGAACAGGTGCTAATACTTTTTAGTACTAGAATATTACCTTCTGTTTACAGAACCAAAGTGACCAAATACTCCAAAAAGAACAGCCAATATTAACTTTTTGAAAGACTCTTGACTGATTAAGCTAGTTTCCCTAATAGAAAAAGTTTATTTTTCTAAAAAAAATTAAAGTGGAAGCTTCTGATGGTACTTGACAATCGTTCGTGTTTCAACTGAACTCTCCTTTAAAATTCTAAAAGAAATATAACATATAGTAGTTCTCTAAGATAAAATTCTTACTCTTCAGTCAAAAATTTTTAGGTCCACCAAGTTCTGACTTCACATTAAAATATGCTTCCATTCATGGACGTGAAATTATTATGGTAGATTTTTTACTATTGCTTTGGTGAGCAATTGTTATTTAAAAAAAAAAAAAAAAAAGGTGCCAGCAGTGATACAGTCTGGCTAGCATACTAGTAGTCATAAAAATGGTGATGTGATCCCAAATCTCATTGTACATACTTTATAAGTTGGTACTAAATAGCTAATATTATCTGTGGTCAATCAAAATGTCATATATTAGGGCTCAAAACAGATATAAAAAGATCTTTTATAAGGGGTTTGCATTTGGGGTGGGGTGGAAATGAGACTATTCCAATGAATGCTTGTTCATTATTCTCTTAAAGTCAGATCACTTATAAAAAACAAAACAAGATTTTCTGAGCATACTAGTTGATTTTACTACATCTCTAATAAAATTTGTAGCTACATCATAAGAAATCTAAAATTGGCTATTTTGTTATACTTATTAATTAGAAAGTATGGGTTTCCATTATTTTTAGCATTAAAATAATCCAGCCATAGTGGCCTTTATGGTTGTTGTGAAGTGAAAAATAAACATACACTATACAGTTGCCTCCTACACAAGAGATCTGGGTTTGATTCCCAGCCAATGAATCTCATGCATAGCTACCTGCCTGTCAGTGGAGCTTCCAGACTAAAACAGACTAAGAAGAAAGGCCTGGCAATCTACTTTTGAAAATCAGCCAACGGAAACCCTATAGATCACAACGGTTAAATCTACAACTCATCTTAGGGATGGAGCAAGATCAGGCAATGATTTTGTTCAGTTGTGTGGTAGTTGTGTATCAACATGGCTGGGCCAGGTTTTAAGTGGCTGGGCAGCTGGATGTAGTATTATTCCCCATGATGAGAATAGTAATCAGCTCTATGGTGGAATGTACTGGAGCATCTGAGTAGCTATCTTAGGGTTGTGGTCTGCTTCCAGTATACAAGGAAAAGCTTTGAGAACAGTCTGCAGCTTTGGCATGCTTGGACCTTCAATTGGCCGAGTCTTCATCTCAACAGCCTGCTATGTTGTCTGACGATCTTGGGACTGTTAACGAACTGGAATTAGTGGCCATGTTGCTTGATAATTTAGGGGCTATGCCATTTCATTTGTTGACCTTGGGTTTGTCACCTCAGCAGCCAGCTGAGCTAAGAGACACCTCCAGCTCCAGTGGGCTGAGAGCAAGAGGCAGAGCTGAAGCCCAAGGTCAAGGGGACTTCACCCAGCCCCTAGAGCTGGCACTTTGAACTCAGATTTCTAGCCTCAAAAACTGGAAAAGAATAAATCCATGTTTGTTAAAACCACCCAGTATTTTCTGTTAGAGTGGTACTAGAGAACCAAACAGTTGTGGATGGGGTTGCCAAGAAGTAGGGACCAATTTGATGGCAGCCAGCAACAATATGGGTTGGATGTTGTAATAATGCCTTTAAATGCTCTGGTAGTTTTTCCCTTGTTCTACCTATAAATCTAAGTTACTAAATTTTAGAAGTGCACATGAAGATAGCATGCTAAAAGGAAAAAAATCATATAGTTAATAATAAAATGGATGAATATTATGTTTTCTCTTTATGGTTTTCAAACTTCTCATTTAGAATTTTCAAGAAAAAAAAACTGTAATAAAGCATCAGAATTGGCAGAAAGCAGATACTAAAATAGTGTAACACACCTTTATCTTCTAGAGTGTTCACTGAATCCACTGGGAGCTTGTGGAATGGGGTAGATGCAAGCTGAGCAGCAGACGTAAAGTCTCCTGTGCTCTTAGGAATGGGTGCCAGCGTTTTGTTGCAGCGGATGCCCCATACAGTTGAATCGTCCAAAAATTCTTCAGTATGAGGCACTTCCTACAACAGAGGGTGAAGTAAAAAAAGCAACAATCTCCCTGTTTCACCCATGAAACTTAACTCAGTAATACTTTCAAGAGACTAAAAAAAATAAGGACGTAAAGAAGAAACAGATGTCGGCCCCGGCTAATATATAGCCAAGAACATCACTATTCTGTTGTTTTTCCCAGAACTGTCATACTTTGTCTTTAACATAACCCAGTGGAATCGTATCTCATGCAAGTACTGAGTTCTTCCTTCTGCTTAATTTTATGTTTTTAAATTGAAAACATGTTTAAATTTATAGAAAAGTTACAAAGATTATATACAGAGTTCTGTTTACCAAGCTTCCTCTGATGATAACATCATATATAGCCATGGTATATTTGTAAGAACTAAGAAATTAACTGATACAATACTATCAACTAGAGATTTTACTTGGGTTTCACCATTTTTCCTCTAATATTCTATTTCTGTTCCAGGATCCAATCCAGAATACCATGTTGCATTTAGTCATCACTCCTTAATCTCCTCCAATCTGTGACAGTTTTTCAGCCTTTCCTAGTCTTTATTGCATTGACACTTTTGAAAAGTACTGGTCAGCAACTATGGAGACTGTCCCTCCAGTTGGGGTTTATTTGATGTTTTTACATGATGAGATCGGTTATTTTGGGAAGAATACTAGAAACAAAGTGCCTTTCTCATTATATTGTATCAGGGGATACATAATAGCAACACATCACTGATGAGATTATCCCACTTGGTTAAGGCAGTGTCTTCCCAGTTTCTGCACTGTAAAAAGTTCTGACTTTCCCCTTTCTATAATTTTTTTGTTACAAGGAAGTAACTAAATTCAGTCCATACTGAAGAGGAAGAGAATTAAGATCCACCTCCTAGAGAAGAATATCAAAGAACTTGTGTGCATACATTAAAACCTCCTTATTAATTAGTAAGTATTTGGAGGGAGATACTTTGAGGCTATGCAAATATCCTGTTTCTGAAAGTCTCACCATTAATTTTAAAATTCACCTGCGGATCTTCTCTGGCATGTTAGTGGTGACTCTCTATTGCCACTCTTTCCTTCTGTATTTATTACTTGGAATTCTTTTATAAGGAAGATTTGTCCTTTCTCTTCCATTTATTTATATCTATGTGGATACTTATTTTTATTTTTTGGGTTATAACCCAATACTACTTTATTCTATTTATTTTTTGCTCAAATTGTTCCAACTTTGGCCACTGACTCATTCAGGTTGACTCTTGTGTCCTTTCGACACGCCTCTATCTTTTTCTTACCTTGAATTACTATTATTTTTTAATCTCGTATAAAGTGTAGACTCATTTTTGACAAACCCTTTCAGTTGCCCATAAAATGCTATATGCTTTATATAAATATTGAATAGTCTTCATATATTCCAGCATATCTCTGCCAATGTTGGAGGAAAAACTCATTAGTTTTTTTCCTTAGGTGGACATAAAATAAAGCAATGGCTTGTGTTTAGGGCCAGGAAAATGCATTGCATTTTTCTCTGGTTAAAGCACATATAATTGAATCTATGTTTAGTAAAATGCACCTATGAAGTGATGCCACTATATGTGAAATCTGGTCCACTAACTGGAATAGTTTTAAGAAAAAGTTCAAACAGTTCATCAGAAGGGTTAGAGGACTGAGTAATAGTTTATCCAAAAGAACCCACTATGGAATTAAAAACAGAACCCAGAGCTCAGCCCAGCTCCTCAGCAAGGGTGAATGAGTGACCACAACACCAACCCTCTCAACATAAGTCAGAGGGACTGAGTGGAGAGAAAAGTATATTTTGGGTAATATTCAGGACTATTGACAGAAGCTGAATACGGACTGGACACATTGACGACTATAACAGAATAATAGTGTTGTGGGCCTGAGAACATATAAAGCTTATTTGCTGATGTATGCTGATGAGGGCCCATCCCAGTTTAATTCAGATTTCGTTTTTTCACTAATATGTCCTAAAAGAAACACATTTATTACATAAGATTATACTTCTCAGCATGTTTTTATAAGTACTGTCTCATTTGATTATCACAATCATGAGTTAAAACGAAGAGTATGATCCATTGCATAGATGAAGCAAGGAGGTTCACTTACATTTGGTTTCACAGAAAGGCTGCTCACAGAGCGTTCTCCAAACGTCCTGGCTCCTGTGGGTTTATTTTTAGGCTGTGGTAATCTAAGGAGAGATTTGCAAAATTATAAACAGTAAAATATGCCAACTTAAGTGAGAGTATCCTTAATCTCCTCCAATCTATTTCTGTTCCAGAATCCAATCCAGAATACCATGTTGCATATAGTTATCATATCTCCTTAATCTCCTCCAATCTGTGACAGTTTTTCAGCCTTTCCTAATCCTAGTTACATACCCCTTACTTTTCCATCACTTTAACCTCAGTTCTAGCAAAATGGAGTGAAAAGTGAATGAATGCCCTACCTAAAACTAAATCTAGAGTTGCTTGAGTGAAGGTAGAAAATCAGCAATTTCCACTACCCTGTGGTATAAATTTTAGGAACAAAAAAAGAAGACAGTAGAATGTCATGGATGCTATCAGTTTATTTCTTATTTATAATGCTCGGTCTAGTTATGGAATTCCTCTGAGAGCTGACCATATTCTTTGACACTAACACCTCTCTTTCCATGATTCAAACTATTAACAGTGAAAATTCTTGGAGTGATACCACTCTATCTCTAGATGTGGCTCTCTAATGTCCCTCAACCTTAAAACACATTTTCTCTGCAGCCCTTCCTAATACAAGCCACTTCCTTTTCTGCTTTATTAATCCTGAAAATACAAAGAATGTATGAATACTTTTATTGGTGAATTCATTCACGTTTAATACAATTTCATATCCACAGCATTCCGTAGTTCTCGGATAACTTGTAACCACACGGTTTTCCTTTTTCAATACATGCTTTCATTACAGCAGGTCTGCCTTCTATCAGAACTTCCACACAGTAATGCAGAACTAGAGAAAAACCTTAACAACAACCACCTCGTCATGTGGTCACAATGCCCATCAGTGGCAAACCTGGGACTCTATTCCAGATCATTTGATTGACAGGCCAACATTCTCTCATCATCATCATCGTCAGCTTCCCTATGTTACTATAACAACATATTGTTGTTGTTGTTGTTGTTGTGTGCCATCCAGTCGGACTCGACTCATAGCGAACCCTCCTTGGGTTTCCGAGGCAGTATCACTACGGAAGTAGATTGCCCCATCTTCCTTCCGAGGAGTGGCTGGTGGGTTTGAACTGCCAGCCTTCTGGTTAGCAGTCAAGTGCCTTAGCCACTATGCTACCAGAGCTCCCATAACATAACAACATATATAGCAACCCCAAATTAATTAGAAACTTCTTTACCCATAATTTTCTTTGTTTCCATCTTCAAATACGGGAAAAGCAGATGACAAGGAAGAGATTATCTTATTGACTCCCCAAACCCCAGAAGACTTTGCATTTTCTGAAAAATAGCATTAATCATGTTAGAAAAGAAGACACTGAATCATTTATGCTAAACTTCAACCATAAGTAAGAAAACTGAATAGCAGCTTATAGAAAAGAACTGATAACAGTTTTTTAAATGCTAGGTAATAAGATAAAGGAGTACTGGTGGTACAGTGGTTAAGGCATTTGGCTACTAACCAAAGAGTTGGTAGTTCAAACCCACCAGCTGCTCCGTGGATGAAAGATGAGGCAGTCTGCTTCCATAAAGATTTACAGCCTTGGAAACTCTATGGGGGTTGCTATGAGTTGGAACCAACTTGATGGCAGTAAGTTTGGGTATTTTGGTGAGAGTTAGTAAGTCATTTTTTAGTGAATCAAAGTGACTTAACTATAGACACAGGGTTTAGCAAAAAGCCCCTTGGTCCTGAGTTCCTGCCAACACACCACCATACAGCCTGCCATGAATATAGTACAGTGTCACCTATCTCTGTGAAACACTGTTATTGTCACTTGACTCACTGAATAAAAGTTTTCATTGGTTTTATTCTCCATCTCTTGTAGGCAGGAATAAACCTCTTAGCATTTCAAATCTTCCCAAGGCTAACTGACTAGATCCTACTTATCACGATCTCTCTGGCTGCCAGCATGAATCCCCTGACTCTAGATAAATGCAAACTCATCAGTGGCCTTCCAACACTGCCCCACCATTTCTCTACCAGAAAAGGCTTAAGTCATGCTTCAAGTACTAAGTCCTTCCCAGCCATTCCTACCAATGGCAATTTTATCCTTCTTTAGAATGTACTATTATTTTTAAAAAATAAAACACACCTATCACACACATGTATTACCTAGTCAAACACTGCTATATTTTTATCTCACACATTTCCCCTGCCCTTATGTGACAAGTTAATCTAAGGCACAGGTATACTTTTTATACCAAAACCAAACCCACTGTCATCAAGCCAATTTTGACACTTAATGACCCTACAGGACAGAGTAGAACAACTGCCTCATACAGTTTCCGAGGTTGTAAATTTGCCACAACTTTCTCCTACAGAGTGGCTTGTGATTTTGAACCACCAACCTTTTGGTTAGCACCCAAGCACTTAACCACTGCACTACCAGGGATCCTACATCGCATATAATCCATTATTTCCTGTGACAACAACCCACAATGACATGCACTTAGTAGGTTTTAAATACAATTTTATTACTTTGAAACTGAGCTTCAAATGCATCTTCATTCTGATCTAGAGGTGACCAATTATCTTTGTCATCAGAAATATCAGGAAGTGTGGGAGCTTGGAACATATCCATGATGAAACCTTAAAATAACAGAAAGAGTAACTATAAACATGGTTGCAAAAGGGCTTATTAATTTGTTGTAAAATGTTACACATTTAAACTAAATGTCTTACCTAATGCTTCTTTTGTGTGAACAGTAGGTGATGGTTGCACTTTGGAAGGTGTTGCCTGAACCATTCCCAGGGATGAGTTTGGAGTTGTGTGAAAAGAATTTGTGTTAGGAAACTTATGTGTTTCACATGCTGTGAAAGAAATTGGGACAAAAAACATCAGTAGAAAGATGAAAATTATTCAGAAGACACAACTTAAGTAACTTATTACAACTAATACAGTTTATTATTGTTAATTATTATCACTAAGGACTCCCATTATTATAGTGCTTTCATATCTTTCATTTTTATCTTTATAACAGTCCCATAAGGTAGGTAAGGCAAGAATTACCCTTTTACAGAAAAAGAAATTAAGGTTCAAAGACACTTAAGTGGCTGGGTCTAAGATCATACCAAATTAGCAGCCTTATCATAAACAGCACCCTTATCTCTACAGTATTTCAAATAATACATGTTAATAATCACATTAGAAATCTTAGGGACATCTCATTCAGCAAAGTCCAGACAACAGTGCATAAGACTCTGCAGAACCAGCCCCAGTTCCCTCACACCCATCTTCTTCCCCCTCTCTTGCTCACCTCAACTGCATCACCTCCTTGCTGTTTTTTAGAATAACACATCAGGGACATTCCCACCTCAAGCCTCTGTACTTGCTGGTCCCTCTACCCAAAAAAGATTTTCCAAGACAGCTGCATGGGGAGCTCTCTCCTTCAGATCTTTAAACAGGTATCACCTTCTTAGTGAGGACTTTCCTGGTCATCCTCTGCAATTTAACCTTTCCTCCACAGCCCCAATACTGTCCTTCCCTTCCACATGGCAGAGATTTTTGTTGTTGTTCATAACTGCATTTGTATGACCTAGAACCTAGTGAGAGCCCAAAATGTCTTGGTGAAATAAATCTCCAAGCTGCTTATTTCAGATAGCTCTGCTCCTCACTAAAGTGTTCATGAAAAAGATGTAATCACATGGGGAAGAAGAAGTGAATTTCCAGTCTGTGTCTTATTTTATTTTTAAAAGTTATTTTATATGCAAATATTTCTAATAGGCAGTATCAAATTGAAGTGGAAGTTTACCTGAGAAATTTAATAGAAAATTTCCACAAATTAGTAAGTCTGCAAATAATTCTTTACTAATACAATATGATTTAATAAGTGAATTTCTACCTTTACTTGAACGGTCAAGAGCTTATACAACCTTTTATCCTCTAAGAAGGGGAAAGCTAACACCCAGGTTCATTAAGGTTTAAAGTCTTAAAGAATCATAGCCATAAAACAGACCTCTGACCAATCTGGAGGAATTGGGCAAACACATCAGAAACAAATTTATTAACTTTACCTGCTTTTATCTCTGCTCCGCCCTGAGGCTTGAATTCATGAGTACTTTTATTCAAACATCTTGGAAGAGAAAATTCTTGAGACACACTAAAGAATAAAAATGCTTGACATTAGAATTTTTAACTAATTTTCAAGAAATAGCAGTAAAAACATTAGCCAACAATTACAAGCCAGTTGATAAAATACAGATGGAACTGCTTAGGAATATAGTTTAAGTAAACAAAGCACCTTTTCTCTTTTGACTTCTTTAGAGGAAAAGAATTCTTACAGATAAACATGTAAATGACAACTGTGGTTCTGCATTTTAATGCCATAATAATCATTTCTGACTATGGAGTAGGACAGGACAGTGGCTTCTTTAATGCAGTGGTCTTATTTATTACGCAGACTAAAGGGCACAAGGCACCCAAGGCAGGCTGGTCACCACATGGGGAAGCACTGGCGTGCTTTAGCAACACACGACACTCTTCGTGTGTAGCCAGTGTATTTTTCTCCAGATTTTAAAAACATTAGCTTTGAAAGCAAAAAAAGAAAAACAATATACAAATATTTTATATCACAGTCAGTTTGTTTTAAGTACACTGGACCTCATCTGTCCATTGAATATTGTTAGAATGCTCTTATAAACCTTGTTAAGATGTAAAGTAAAAAGAGAAAATAGTCTGTGCCTACCCTTTCACACTTTCCACAACCTATAAAAATCTGGCTTCAATATAGCCAAAGTGACTGGAGATAAAAATTTCAACAACAAAAGTAATGTGACATAATTTTCAAAGTACACAAAAGTACTTCAAAATAGGGGGAGGGGAACCTACACAGTTGTGTACATATGGGCATATTATGTCACAGATATTAATCCCAAACCATTCCCCATGGTATGACAGAAGGAATCAAATATGAGATCACAGGTCAAGGAACTGCCTGCTTAGCAATAATTCTTCAAGTTACTCAATCAAAACCAGTAAGCAAAGGTAATTTCAGTTTAATGCCTATATACTCTTCAGTAACAAAAAGACTGTTGAGTTTCAGGGAAATGAAAATTTTGAATTGAAGAGAAAATGATGAAGTATAACAAACACTCTACAAGAAGCACAGAATAATTAAATCTAAAATATTTGGGGCCGAAATTTTCTTAACTTGGATTTTCAATAGCACACTACTCTAAAAGTTATTTTAAAAATAGGAAGCATTTCAGTTTAACATACTGCTCTTGATATTGCAGATTGTGAAGAGAAGCTGACAGATGCCATGCACATCACTATCACCTCTAGGACCATCTTCAGCTTACCTAGCATCTTTGCTGGCTACTGGAAATACAGAGTCTGTCACTGGTTGGGCTGTCAAAGGAACAGCTACCTTCTGGCTGACGGCTAGGGACACCAAAGCAGTGTTGATGGCATTTGCCTTAAGTGGTACAAGAGGAGGTGCTTCTCTGGATTTCTCTCTCATGTTGCTTGAGGTCTGCTGATCTAGGACTGGAAGAGACGATCCTCTCAGCTCCTCCTGGGAGCCTACACATGCTGTATTAACCTTTCATGTTAAACAAACAAACAAAAACAGAACTGTGAAGTTCAGAATATTACTAACTAGGTAAGGCAACTTTTCAAAGACTTGCACCTGTTTTCATTAGATTCCTTTCCCCTTGAAGCACTCCTTTAGGCCAGCAAGTATCCAGAAATGAATAGTCAATAGAAAAAGACCATTCTATATGAGAGATGGTTTTGTAGCTTCTTAACTACAAACACAATTGGCACCTCATACTTCTAACCACTGAAATAAGTGGCATTTTCAGTATTTAAGAATTTTCTTATTTCTTACTGCCCTTAGAAAAGATGAACAAAATCAACATTATCAAATGCTCACAATGGTCTTTCTTCCATTAAAATTTCATTGATAGCCATTTTCTCTTTATTGAATAGTAAATATGATTATAAACTGCACTAGTAATGCTACAAAAGTATAGCTAACACTAGAAAGGATAATAAGCTCTTAATTTAAAATTTTTGCTTTTCTACTTACTTAGCCTGTAATTCTACACGCTACTGTTATAAAGTTAAAGGGCAGAAGGGCTAATAGTCTCACCATATAAAAATATTCTTACAAATTGTTAAGAAAACACCAACTCTGTAGGACAACAGCAGTTATTTCATAGACAAAATATAAAAAGTTCATCAGAACTTTTGTCATGAAAAAAGATACTTCAAAATGACGTATACCATTTTCTCACCTATCAAATTTGTAAAGATTAAAATTAACCAGATTATTCAATTCTGGGGAAAAATTACAAATACTCTCAAAGGTAAAAATATAGTAAATCTAGCTAAATATATTAGGAAATATTCATGTAATAGATTATATAATATTGTAAATCATGTTTTAAAACAAAACTAATTGTGAGCATTTTCCTAAATAAGAAGGCATTTACTCTTTACAATTTCTAAATTACATTTAAGAAGGGGTTAGAAAGTAACCCCTCAAGTTAGTAAGATTGAAATATAAAGACAAAATTCTGAATGAATAAAGTAATGTGTGTGTGTGTGTGTGTGTGTGTTTAAGACAGGCAAGGACAAAAACAAAATGTTAACAAGGCTTATCTCTGAATGGTGGATTTATATCATTTTATTTTCTTCTTATATTAATCTTTATTTTCAAAGATTTTCTACAGTGTTTATTTGAAATGATAAGCTATACAAGGATCAGAGAATTCTTCTAGCAAACAAGAGAAAACAAGCAATCAGCCATATTTTTCAATTATTCTTTTTGACTTCCCCCACATCCCTATCTTGACTCTACAAAGAACTAAAGTACATAGAAAAGTCTATCCACCTGAAAATTAAAGCAATAAGGAACTTCCTACAACATATAAGCAATCTTTATTAAATTTAAAAATACATACACCTTTTGACATAGCAATTCCATTTATAGAAACTTATCCCAAAAATATATCTAAATAACATATATACAAAGTTATTTACTGACATATTTTCAAAACAGTAAAAGGTTAGAGACTATCTATTAACAGCAGACTGGTTAAAGCATGGTTCATTCAAAAAAAGACAAAATTCTATACAGTGATTGAGAAGCCCTTCCAGATGTATTTCTAAGTGAACAAAGACAAAATGTAAAAGTGTATCTAAAGCACTACCTCTAACAAGAAAAGGAAGAATGCATACTAATTTCTGTTGTGTTCACATAAGAAATGAAAGGATACACAAGAAACTAGTAACAGTGGTCACATGAATGAATGCCTGTGAGGTGCAGTAGAATAGGAATGTGCAGAAGGACACGGATGAGATGGAGACTTTGCACATAATTATATATTTCAAACTATTAAACAATTAAATTAAAAATTACACAGAGGGAACGACATCAGCAAGACAGTGAAGTAGGCAGATCTAAGCTCCTGTCCCTCTATAGAAACACTGCAAAACAAGCAGAAAATATCAGAACCAAATTTATTGGAACTCTGGAAAACAGTCAAAAGTTTACAGTGACCAAGCAAATGCTAAATCAAGAAAAAAGGCAACTAAAATGGATAGTAAACTCTTCGTGGCATTTCTGTCCTCCCCCTCCCCTGTCTCAGCCAATGGCTCTGGCTCAGAAAATGATGTATGAACAAAATGAGAATATCAGAACAGAGACTGAAATTATAAAAAGGAACGAAATAGAAGTTTTGAAGATGAAAAGTATGATAACTGAAATGAAAATTCACTAGAGAGACTGAATAACAGATTTGAGTAGGCAGAAGAAGGAACCAGCAAATTTGGAATATAAAACAACTGAAATTACCCAGTATGAGGAGCAAAAAGATAAAGAATGAAGGAAAGTTAAAATCCCCACTGCTATTGAGTTGATTCCAACCCATAGTGACCATATAGGACAGAGTAGAAATGCCCTATAAGATTTCTAAGGCTGTAATTCTTTATGGAAGCAGACTGCCTCCTTGTTACCTGTGGAGCGGTTGATGGGTTTGAGCCACCAATCTTTTGGTTAGCAGCCAAATGCTTTAACCACTGCACCTTCAGAGCTCCTTATTTGAAGGAATAGTAGCCAAATTTTCCCAAATATGATGAGACATGAAGCTACATATCCAAGAAGTCACTAACTCCAACAAAGATAAACTCAAAGAGATTTACACTAAGACACATTATACTCAAACTGCCAAACGATAAAGACTAGGAGAGAATCAAATCATCAGGTACGTGGAGTCAGATTAACAGCTAATTTCTTATCAGAAACCATGGAGGCCAAAAGACAGTGAGATGACATTTAAAGTGCTGAAAAAACTGACAATTCTACTTCTAGCAAAACTATCTTTCAAGAATAGAAGACAAATTAAGATATACCCAGAAAAACAAAAGCTAAGGGAACTTACCCTGTAAGAAATGCTAAGAAGGGAGTCCTTTAGTCTGAAATAAAGGACACTAGTAAAGGTAACTACATAGATTAAATATAAAAGACAGTATTATTATATGTTTGATTTTTAATTCCTCTTCTTTGCCTAAATGACATAAATGTAAATGCATAAAACAATAATTATAAATCTACATTAAAGGGCACAAAATGAATAAAGATGTAATCTGTGACAATAACAACATAAAGGGAGGGAGATGTGTAAGAGCTGAACATATACTTTTGATATCAGATTATATTATTCACACTAGGTTGTTATATACTTTAAGTGTTAACTATAATCCATATGGTCACTACTAGAAAAATATATAGAAAAGGAAAGAAGAGAATAAAATTGATATACTCCAAAAAAAATCCAATAAATTTTTAAAAAGCAATAATGGAGGAGTTGAGCAAAAAACATATAAAACAATCAGAAAACAAATAGCAAAATGGCAGAAGTTCTTCTTTATTAGTAATCACTTTAAATATAAATGGACTAAACTCACCAATTAAAAGGCAGAGATTGGCAGAACAAATATAAAAACATGATCCATCTATATGCTGTCTGTAAGAGGTTCATTTTAGACTCAAAGATGCCAAGTTGTTAAAAGGTTGGAAAAAATATTCCATGCAAATAGTAACCAAAAGAAAGCTGAGGTGACTATATTATCAGACATAATGAATTTTGAGTCAAAAAAGATTACAAGAGACAAAGAAGAATATTATATATTGACAAAACGTTTCATTCATCAAGAATATATAATAATTTTAAGTATACACACCTAACAACATAGCCCCAAAATATACAAAGAAAAGTTTAACAATGAAGATAGAAATAATTCAACAATAATAGCTGAAAACATCCAAAGGCCCAATTTCAATAACAGGTAGAACAACCAGACAGAAGATCAATAAGGAAATACATGAATGGAACAACATTTTAAACCAGTTAAACCTAACAGACATACTATACAGAATACCCCACCTAACAACAGCAGAATATACATTCTTCTCAAATCATGGATCATTCTCCAGGATAGATTATATGTTAGGCCATAAAATAAGTCTTAATAAACTTAAAAAGATTTAAATCAGCCAAAAATATCTTCTCCTACACAATGGAATGAAATTAGAAATAGTAACAGAAGTAAATGAGGAAATTCACAAATATGTGGAAATTAACAATACTCTTTAAAAACCACTGGATCAAAGGAGAATTTGCAAGGGAAATTAGAAAATACACTGACACAAATGGAACATAAACACTACATATCAAATCTTATGGGCTACAGCAAAAGCAGTCCTAAGATGTAAATTTTAGCTGTATATGCTTACATTCAAAAAGGAGATCTCAAGTCACTAACCTTGTAATATAAGGAACTAGAAGAGCAAATTAAACCCAAAGCTAAGAGAGGGAAGTAATAAACATTAGAGCAAAAATAAATGAATTAGAGAACAGAAAAATAATACCGAAAAATTAATAAAACTAAGTTGTTTTCTTTGGAAAGATCAACAAAATTGACATCTTTAGATATATGACTAAGAAAAAGAGAAGATTCAAATCAGTTAAATCAGAAATGAAAGAGGGAACATAACTACAACTTTAGAGAAATAAAAAGGATTATAAGAGAATGCTATGAACACCTGTACACCAACAAATAGGATAAACCAGATGAAACGGATAAATTCTAAGAACAACTACTACAACACAAGAAGAAATGGGAAAGACTCATAAGTAAAGAGATTGAATCAGTAATCAAAACCTTCCCAGCAAAGAAAAGTTCAGGACTAGATGGCTTCACTCTTGCATTCTATCAAACATTTAAAGAATTAATAGCCACCACTGTGGAAATCGGTATGGCGATTCCTTAAGAAGCTGGAAATTTAAATTTGATCCAGCAATCCCATTACTAGGTAAATTTCCTAAAGAAGTGAGAGGCAGGACAAGAACAGATAATATGTACACTCATGTTCATCATAGCACTATTTACAATAGCAAAGAGATGCAAACAATCTAAGTGCCCATCAATTGAAGAATGGATAACCAAACCATGGTACATACACACAATGGAATACTATGCAACCATAAAGAATAACATAGAATCTGCAAAACACCACATAATGTGGATGAACTTGCAGGACATTATGCTGAGTGAAGTAAGTCAATCACAGAAGGACAAATATTTTATTAGTACACTATTGTAAAAAGTCAAAGAAAAGTTTCTACATGTAAGGAAATTTTCTTTGTTGGTTACCAGGGATGGGAAGGGAAGGAAGGAAAAATTCCTGGATAGGTTCAAAACAAAACAAAAAATACATACACAGAAAAATAAATAAATAAAAGCAATTCTTCTCAAACACTTCGAAAAGATACAAGAGGAGAAAACTGTTCCTAACTCATTCTACGAAGCCAGAATTACCCTGAAACTAAAGCCAGACAAAGATACTAGAAGAAAAGAAATTACAGGTCAAAATCCCTTATGAATATCAATGTAATATCCTCAACAAAATATATCTACCCCTCACTTATCAACTACCTCATTATCCAACATTTCACATTTATGACAACAGTAAAAAATCTATCAGCTGACTCTTTTGTGCATTACCAACATACATTTGGCACTAACGAATGCCGAGGTGCAAGGCAAGAGTTACCACTGGCTGTGATGGTTAAGATTATGTGTCAGCTTGGCTAGACCATGCACAGTCTTCAGTACTTTGGCAGTTATGTCATGATACAATTTGGCAGTTAGGTAACAATGTAATTTGCTAGTTATACAATGATGTTAATACTCCTCCATTTTATGATCTGATGTGATCATGCCCTATCTTCATATATGCACCAGGAAATCAAATTCAGCAGGATATATAAAATGATTACACACCATAACCAAATGAGGTTTATCCCAGGAATGCAAGATTCAACATACAAAAATCAATTAATACAATACACATTACTAGAAAGAAGGAAAAACAAAACTATGATCATCTCAAATGATGTAGAAAAGGCATTTGACAAAATTCAGCATTCTTTCATGATAAAAACACTCAGCAATCTAGGAATACAAGGGAACTTCCTCAACCTGATAACAGCTATATATGAAAAACCCATAGGTGGCGTAGTGCCTAAGGCATCTGACTACTAACCAGAAGGCTGGGAGTTCAAACCCACCAGCCACTCCTCGGAAGGAAGGTTGGGCAATCTACTTCTGTAATGATACTGCCTCCAAAACCCAAGGAGTTGGATCCGACTTGACAGCAGTGAGTGTGGTTTGGTTTGGTTTAACATCATATTGACCATTACATTGAAAGCTGTTCACCTAAGAACAGGAACAAAACAAGGATCCCCACTTTTGCCAGTTCTCCTAACAAAGTACTAGAACTTCTAGCCAGAGCAAGAAAAAGACAAAAAAGGATCCAAATTGGAAAGGAAGAAGTAAAACTATATTTACAGTTAATATGATCGCACATGTAGAAAGGGGAAGTACCTCGGTGGCACTTGACTACTAGCCAAAAGAGTGGCAGTTTGAACTCAGTTTGAAGTCTTCAGAGGTGCCTTGGTAGACAGGTCTGGCATTCTGTTTCCAAAAGACCACAGTCTTGAAAACCCTATGGGGCAGTTCTACTCTGTATGCATGGGGTCACTGTAAGTCAAAACTGATGTGATGGCAACTAACATACATAGAAAGTGGCTCAAGCACAGCAATGATAATATTGTGAAGATGGTATAACATTTTTTCTGTTGGACATAAAATAAACACGACTCAGAGCCAATGTGATGGCACCTAACAACAATATGTAGAAAATCCTAAAGAATGCACCAAAAAATTGTTAAGAGCTAGTAAACAAATTAAAGTTGCAAAATCAACATGCAAAAACCAGTTGTATTTCTATATACTCACTAGCAATGAACACTTTGAAAAGGAAATGAGGGACACACTTTCACTTACAATATCAAGAAGAATAAAATACCAGCCACTCCTCAGAAGGAAAGTTGGGCAATCTACTTCTGTACTGATAGTGATACTGCCTAGGAAACCCAAGGAGGGATCACCATGAGTTGGATCCAACTTGATGGCAAACACCACCACCTCCACCACCACCTAGGAATAAATTAACCAAGGAAGCCTAACATTTACTTATACACTGAAAACTCTGACCATCACTGAAAGAAATTAAAAGAGCTAAGTAAATGAAAAGACATCTGTGTTCATGGATTGGAAGACTTAGCATTGTTAATATGATAATACCTTGTTGTTGTTGATGTTAGGTGCCGTCAAATCAATGTTGACCCATAGTGACCCCATGTGACAGAAAAGAACTGCCCCAAAGAGTTTTCTTGAATGTAATCTTTACAGAAATAGACTGTCATATCTCTTTCCTATAGAGCCAGTAGGTGGGTTTGAACTGTCAACTTTTCTGTTAGCAGCAGAGTACTTAACTGTAATATCCTTTTCTCATTCTAGGAGCTCTGGTGATGTAGTCCCTAAGGCATTTCCAGAAGGCTGACGGGTTCAAACCCACCAGCTATTCCTCCGAAGGAAAACTGGGCAATCTACGTCCATGGTGATACCCCTTGGAAACCCAAGGAGGGGTCGCTACAAGTTGGATCCAACTAGAGAGCAGTGAGTTTGTTTTTCTCATTCTGCATTTCAAACATCTTTCCAAGTCAAATTATTTTAAAAGTTCTGAAAGTTACTTGCTAAATTAACGTCAGAATTAACTAAAAAAATAGCTCAACAAATGGAGTAAATGAAAGCTGAAATCAGCATTACTGGATATGGGAAGTGTCAGCAAAGAGCACATGTATACCTTAGACCGTTCTTGAAAAGAGGGCAGGTTCTCATGCGATGTCTCCACCACTTGATGCAACTTCTTATGAAGTTCATCCATTTTCTGTTTTAATAATTGTTCTTCAAAAGCATTTGCTTCTTTCCTTTTCATATAATGTCTGTCTTCATTTACTTTAGGATAGATAAAAAAGGTTTGTATGTGAAGTTTAATTACAGGTCATCAGAGGCAAACATACAAAATGAACTAAAGTTATTTCTAGAATGCTTTAAAATAAATCCTTTCTATGTTTATTAGGTTATGTATTTGCCTAAGGCATTTGACTGCTAACCAGAAGTCTAGCAGTTCAAACCCACCAGCCACTCCTCGGAAGGAAGACTGGGCGATCTACTTTTGTAGTGATACTGCCTGGGAAACCCAAGGAGGAGTCACTGAGTCAGATCCAACTCAACAGCAATGTGTTTCATTTGCATTTAGCATGGTTACTGTTATAGATTGAACTGTGTCCCCAAAAAATATGTGCTATAAATCCTAACCTCTATACTTGAGGTTTTAATTCCATTTGGGAATGAGTTGTCTTTGTCATGCTAATAAGACAGGATTAGTGTAGGGTGTAACTTGAGTCAATCTCTTTTGAGATATAAGATTAAACGCAAATTACAAGGAGAGATGGAGGAAGAAAAATGCCAAGCCACATGAAGACTGCCCAAGAGCAGAAGCTCAGAAGAGACAAGGACCTTCCCCCAGAGCCAGCAGAGAGAAAGACTTCCCTAATAGCCAGCACCCTGAATTTGGACTTCCAGCCTTCTAAACTGTGAGAAAATAAATTTGTTTGTTAAGGCCATACATTTGTGGTGTTTCTGTTATTAAAAAAATGAAACCAAATGTACTGCTGTTGAGTCGGATCCAACTCCTAGCGATCCCTCCTTGGGTTTCCAAGGTGGTATCACTGCGGAAGTAGATTGCCCAACCTTCCTTCTGAGGAGTGGCTGGTGGGTTGATCCTAGCCTTCTGGTTAGCAGTCAAATGCCTTAGGCACTATGCCACCAGAGCTCCTTCATATCTGTTATAGCAGCACTAGATAACTAAGAAAGTTACTTTTAAGTTCAGGACATAAAAATTATAAAAGTTTTTATGTCAATCAACAAATCAATACTTGCTAATAGTATAATATAAAACTAAACAGCTCTTGAGAAACAATCAAGACTGTTCAAATAGTTTGAAAATGGAACAGCTATTAAAAGACAAAAATCTCTAGGTACTTTCTAAGAAGAAATAAAAGTAAAATACATTATAAGGTCACTACATCAAGTACTTTTCAGTTAGCTCCACTTCTAATAACTATATCATATGTAAGTCAAATGGTCTGACTTCAGATTATAGGTCAAGAGTGTGAAAGAAAATTGCATTGTACTCAGCACAAAGGGATCCTTCATGAGTCTTAACTTGTCTGAGTTGTTGACTGAATATGAGAAATAAAGAACAAAAATGAAAAACCTATAGATGTTGCAGCCAAACAATTTAGACAGATGATACAGAAGCCCTGAGTGTTATAAAATTTCATTTTCCTCTCTGTAAGGTACAGGCTATTATAGTAAGCCAAGTGCAAACATTCATCTTAAGAACAAGGTTTTTGCTGTGAGGAATAAAGCTTGATTTCACTATACTGAATAACATGGCACTTGGATCAGCACTCCTGAATGTCTTATTTGTAGTAGTTGACATCTTGGAAAATCTCTTTTGAACTCTAATTCCTATTCTATTCCTTTCACAGTACAAATAACTGACCTAGCAGTTAAGAATTGTATATATAGATGTTCAAATCTATAAAGATAAAATCAATTTAAAAATATCTTATTTCACTAAAAGATAAGGCAATACTGGTGTGAATGTCTACTTTAGTGCTGTTTCAACTATGGGCTCTGCTGTCAGAACATCAATTTAGCCCTTGTACAAACATGGCCACAAGGTTAGTATTTAACAAGGATGCCAAGGCTTCTAATAGGATGAGCGGGAGATTACAGATTCTTTCAGCATAGAGAACTACCTAATAAAAATTTCTAGTCAGGGACGAGGATTAGCAGCATCAGAGAATTCAAATTATAAGATCATAAATACCCCATTGTTCATGCTTTCTCCGTTGATTATATTTCTGGGCTCTCAGTTCTTCAAAAGAGAATTCTGATTCTCCACGAATAAGCTTCTCCTTGCAATACATAACAACTTGCTTAACATCACTTTTGGCTGCCAAAGATTGGTGTGCAGAATATTCTGATTTAGAAATCATGATCACCCTTTGATCCCTATAATTGGGAAAAAATACATTATTTACAACAGTGTACTTGAATAGCTCTTGAATGGAAACTAAGTAATAGATGAATACACTGATTGTACTTGCATCTTTGATTCTTTATCACAAGTTGATGATGTCACTCCAGAAAGTTTTGAACCCTAAAAGTACAAAAAAAACAAATATGAGCACTCTCTTAATCTGAAACGAAAATTTTCACTCAAATTACTTCACAAGAGTATGAAAACAGTTGAGGGAGGGGATCTCTTCCTAACAAGATTTATTTATGTTCCTTTAAATTATGATTAATATTCCAAGGCACAACAATTGGTCTCTATTTGCCTGAGCAGCAGACTTCTGACTCCTAGTCAGAACTAGGAGTAAGTGGACTGTACTAGATTACCTCCATGAACAACTGTTTTTTTCGCCATGAGACCAGAAATGGATGGTGCTCAGCAACTATTAGTGAGCATTTTGATCAAAGATTCTATAGAAGAATCTTTGATCAAAAGGGCCAAAATGTGAAACACAGCTTCAAATTCTCATGGAATCCAGACTTTCTGGAGCCACTGAGGCTAGATGACTCCCAAAACTATTGTCTTGAGATAATCTTTTAACCTTAAACCAAAACTATCCCCTTAAGTCCTCTTTTAAGTCAAGTAACAGTTTAGCTTAATTGGTAAAGAATGTCTTCCTTGAGAACTGCGCTCTTATAAAGAATTATTTATATGGGATCAAACTGACAGCAGCAACTCTAACGACTGGATGAGAAACTTAGAAAGCAGTGATTATCTTAGAGGTGTAAATAATCTGGAAAAGGATAGCAAGAATGGCTGCACAACTTGAAGAATGTCAACTGTCATCAATGGCACTGAATTGTACATAGAGAAACTTGATGTATGTTTTGCCATGTATATTTTTACCAAAAAAATCTAAAAGAATTATGATCAATATCTGAAGCTTTAGTTTGCCTTATTAACCTTTATGATAATAAATACTACATCTAAAGAGTCAATATAGAAAAGCGGCAATAGCCAGGGTGGCATGGGTGGTGGGTGGTGTATTTGATTTCCCTTCCATCCACATGCAGGAGCTGGGCTATGGTGCTTAAGTGTTATAGGATTAACATTCCAAGTAGCTATATTTTAGAAAACCATTTAAAATCTTCTGGTACCAATCTACCTTCAGGAGTGCCCATGCTAACATTCATTTACTAAACAAATATTTATTGAATTCTTAATTTATGTTACGCCCTGAGCAAGGTCCTGGGGAGATGACTATACACAAGATCCATCCCTGCTGTCTAATCTCATGTAGACAGGCAATAGGAAACACTGAGACTGGCAAGGATGTGTAGGCTGTAAATTGGGATAGATTTTTTGAAGGGCAGATGGAGCTCTGGTGGCTAGTGCCTAAGGCATTTGACTGCTAACCAGAAGGCTGGTGGTTCAAACCCACCAGCCACTCCTCGGAAGGAAGACTGGGCAATTTACTTCTGTAAAGATACTGCATCAGAAACCCAAGGAGGGGTTGCTATGAGTCGAATTGACTCAACGGCCATCAGTGAGTATCAAGGTTAGAAAGGCATACATATTCTACTTCTAGGAGTGTTTCATAAATAAAATCTATACACATACACTAAGAGCAGGGGCATTTCCATCAGAGTTAGATTAAAGGAAGTCCTTGGTGAACTCTGAAAGAGTAGTTATACTATGAAGAGGAAAGATGCTGGGAAACGTGAGGCTGAGGGAAGGATTTTTTCTTCTTTTAAGACAGGAGAGACTTGAACATTTTTACATGTTAATGTCATCGGGTCAGATGAGATCTCAATAGGGCAGAAGTCTGTGAAGAGACTGAAAGAGAAGCACAGATAGAGGGCTGCCTTTTTCCTACTGGAATAGCAGGGAAGGATGATTTTGAACAGGGTAAAGAAAAGTTAATAATTTCCATAAATTGGCATTAAAGAGTGAAATGGGAAAAACCAGAGTATTGCTTAGAAGTATTTAAATTCTGATTGAGGTTACAACAGGCACCAGTGTTTAAAGCTCTGAGTATTTTCAATAGGGTTCAGAAACCTCCATGTGGATATGAATTCCTGGGCCTATGTGAGGGAGGCCAGCAGAACACAGGAAAGGACACTGGTAGGAGAAAAGATGCCAGGGGAAGAAGTGAAGACAGGAGGTTGTATAGTGGGTTCCCTAAGTCAGATAAATACAAGGAAGTTCTGGTCAGATAATGGGTTATTTAAATTTAATATATGAGGTGAGCAGTGATAGAAAGTCACTTCAGAGAGGCTAATACGGAGGTTAGAGTCACAGAAGACAGGGCCAAAGAAATGAAATGCTGAAGTGGATGTAGAAACCAGTCAGGATGGAAATTCAATACCATCCCCAGTCTCCTCACAATCTACAGAGATCATTATTACCTGATTCTTAGAAACACAGCCTGTGTTGTTTCCTGGATTTGAGTTTGATGTTATCATTTGATTTAAAATCTGAGCATTATGCAGAGGTTCTGAGGTTCTAGCTATGGGGAAAACAGGATGAAATAAGGAGAAATAAGTTTAAAACCATATTAAATAAAATTATATTTCTTTCAACAGTAGCATAAGAAAGAAATCAGCTTTTTCAAACTGCCTGGCAATTTAAAAAATTTTCTTAGATAAGAGGAGTATTTTATAGTTTTTTGATGAACTCAAAATCTCCAAGCAAATACCCAAAAGAAATGTTAAAACCTGACCAATTACTTCAAACAACCAGATAGGATAGTTAGTATTTATTGCTTGAAATATCTTTACTTCTTTAAAAGTTGTAGTAAATACATTTGATTCAATTCTGAATACAAGGATTCCAAAGTAAGTATTATCCTCAATTTTTTTTTTTTTTTTAAATACAATCAAATCATCACTTTTTTCTTGTGGGTTTGCTTTTCTAAAGTGCTAAGGTAGAACCTCTGCTCTCCAGGGCTATTAAGTGAGTACTATTATTTTTATTATAGTACCTTCCCCATTATCTAAAACAATATAATTTAGTACTCAATATATACTGCATGGGTTTATTGATTTGTTTTATTTAAAAAAAAAGGAAAACTGAAAAAACAGTACAAATCAGAGACTAAATTAGCAATAATTTAGACATTTTGGAAATTGATTTTACCTTGAGTTGGTAAATGAGTTTCAGTGAGGCGTTTCTGAAATAACCTAAATGACAGTGGGAAAGGCATCCATATAGATTATAAAGGTACAGTTTGATATGTATCTGTATTAAAGTAAAAACTAAATATGATAACTTATTATAACCTAGTAAAGACTGAGATCAAAAGAGAATGTAAAGTTGAAGTAGAGTTGCTTCAATGTTACCAAAAAGTATGAGTATCTTCATACCTAATGCATTTATATCAGAAAAATTCCTCATTTTGCCTAGTTTATGTCAGTTTTTATTATTTCATGTAACAAATGCACCCTCCTTTTCTGTGGATCAAGTCTGTAAATATAATAATACAAGGTGTTTGAGTTTTTACTTTTAGGCATTTTATTCACTTGGATCAGAAGAGCCCTGGTGGTACAGTGGTTAAAGTGGTTGGCTGCTAAATCAAGGGTTGGTGGTTCAAACCCACCAGCTACTCCATAGGAGAAAGATGAGGTAGTCTGCTTCCACAAAAATTACAGCCTTACAAACCCAAGGGGTAGTTCTATACGGTCGCTATGAGTCAGAATCAACTCAATGGCAGTGGATTTGGGTTTTCTTCATCTGAATCATGACGAATATAATAGTTGGAAGAAATAAATGAAAGTACAAAATTTAGACTACTCTTTCAAAAGACATTTGCATTATTGTTCATGCTCTGTGAGAAGTTCTCAAATATACCATTCCTGATAAATAATACGTAATTTACAAGCCTGAGATTTTTGGGTGACTTGAGCAAAAGTATATAAAGGCTAAAAGACATACAACCAAATGAAATCTGTGGACTTTGCTTCTTAAAACAAACCAACAGTGAAAAAAATATTTTTTTTTTTACATGATGGAGAAATTTCAAAACTGACTGAAAACTGTTAATTTTGTGAGGTGTGATACAGCATCAAGGTTCTGTAAGAAATAATAACACTCTAGAGATGTTTTGGAGATACTTGGTTTTAGATTTGCTTTAAAAATTCTTCAGAATACAAAATACAGGCATATGTATCTACCTCAAGTAGATACACTCTTTGGAGAGAACAATCATGAGAGAAAGAAGGGCTCTTTATGCACAGGGAGACAGCTCAGGGGGCAGGAGTGTATGGAGGGATGGGCACTGGGAAGAGGTAACTATGGGGAGTAAGTGGGAGGGGAGCTATTGAATTGTGGTAAACTGTGGTCAATGACATGAGAAAAATTTTTGTGAACTGCTGTATGGAAAGTGAATTTGCTCTGTAAATCTTCACCCAAATCACAATAAAAAAAAGAATCTTCAGAATAGAAAAAATACAATCAAAGCAAAATGTTAATAGCTATTGAAAGCAGGAGATAAGTAAATGGAAATTATAGTAATTTTTCTTTTTAAACTAATATATGTTTGAAATTTCTTATAATAAGGTTTAAAAATAAAACATAAGCACAATAGCGAAGTTGAAAAAAAATTGAGAAGATTAAATGCTAGCAACAACTGCAATGAGATAAGCACTGTCATATACCACTAGTGAAAGAGGAAAAGCAAAACACTAGTATAATCTTTTGAATAGGCAATTTGGCCTTAAAACTCTTCACACGCTTTGACTTTAATAGTTTCAATTCTGAGAATCTATCAATAGGAACTAGATAAAAATAAGAACGCTATTAGAAGTAAAGAAACAAAGACTTTGGTACGAAGCTGCATATATATGTAAGATATGCTTATAATCCTGTGCCAAGCAAAGAAAAAAAATGCCAACTAAAAAGCCAAGTTTTCTTCATCTTTAGTTTTCTGTACTTTCAGAATTTCCTAAATGAACTGTATTTAATCACAGAAAAAGTGGAAAATTGGTAAAAAAAATTAAGGGTATTCATCATGTCATTCTTTATAAAAATCAACTTGTTGGAAACAAATGTTCAATAGAAGAATAATTAAATTACGATATAGGTCTGACGGACTTCACAATCACTTTACATGTAGTAGAAAGGCTTTTCCATCTTAAGAGTAGTATAAAACTCAGTACATAGAATCAGACATATGGTATGATTTACTCTGTTAAAATACGTAAAAACACACATAACAGGCATAGCAAAAGATACTGGAAGGAAATGCATGAAAGTATTAACAGTAATATTTCTGGGTGGTTTCTAGTAGTGCCTAAGGCATCTGACTGCTAACCAGAAGGCTGGTGGTTCAAACCCACCAGCCACTCCTCATAGACAAGACTGGGCAATCTACTTCCGTAGAGATACTGCCTCAGAAACCCAAGGAGGGGTCACTACGAGTCAAACTGACTTGATGTCACTGAGTTTTTTGGGGTTTTTTTTGTTTGTTTATTATTTACATTTTCCAAAATGAGAAAAATTTCCCTGTACAAAAAAATGACAGTAAAAAAATTTCCAGAGTAAGTATTACATTTTAAAGTAGGAATACCCATGTAGAGTTTTATTTTGAAACTACCTGTACTGTTGTTGCAGTAGTTCTCTTGGTTCAGCCTGGTTTTGAATTCCTCTCCGAAAAACAGCACTGGCATGCTGCAGCTCTCCCTGGCCTTCCAGATGCCCAGCCCAGGCTATGTACAGAGGAGATGACAGGGTCCCAATTCCATGGTTATACAGAAACTCAAAGAACTGATGAAGGTCACTGTTGTACTCAGCCTACAGGAGCATAAACAAACAGAAATAAGAACAAAGGAAGCTATTCTAGGTCTGTCCCAGAATCCATTCAGCATTCAACATTCAGTTTTCATGGAGGCCTTAGGGATGAAGGAGAAGGCATGTATGTCATTTGATGGCAACTTTAAAGGTGAGGCTCATTCCTGTCCTTGACATTCAACATTCTCAAAATGACCCACACTATTTCCCTAGATAGCAAGTTCTACATTGACCCATTACCAAAAGTTTTATTTGTCTTAATTTGAGCTTGCTGGAGTTCTGCAGGGTACCTCCCAACCTAGCATCTTTTAATTTAGGGAACAAATCCACGTTTCTCCTATATATTTCATTCATGATTTTATGCCTTGACCCCAAGCCTTTATTCCCAGATTAACAAATTCCCAAATTTTTTAAAGCCTAACTAGAGGAAGCAGTCTCTTTTTACTACTGATTTTAGTTTCTGAGTTAATATTTTATTAATTACTCACAATGAATTTAATTTATTCCCAGAAACTTTCTTGGTACCTGGGAGTACCTATTTATCCTGTCACTTTTTTTTTTTAATTCCCAAAAACCTTAATTAAAATAATTTATTTTACTTTTTTTGTTGTTGAAAACATATCGTGTGTCACCCTTCCATAGAGCACAGTTCTACTGTGCAACACATGGGGCCACCCAGAGTTAGAAGTGACTTGAGAACTTTTTTTTTAATAGTAAAGATTTTAAACTCTAGGGGAAAAAAGCAAAAGTATACCATGATTATACATTTGAACATATACTTACAAATTTTAAACAGTAATTTATGAATCTTGGGTCATTGTGGTATTTCTTCTTATCTAAAAATGCCTTCATTAAATGTTCTAATAACGTTGTCAAGTATTCTTTATTCTCAGGAAAATTCTCTTCTACCCACCGCATATAACTAGAAAAATATAGATTATGTCAATTCTCAGAGCAGCAACTAGTTTGTTTAAAGACAGAAAGTAAACTAAATGCTAACCTTTCCCATTCACCAAGAGGGTCATCGCCCTTGTAGTTCTGCATATGGGCCTCAAACATCCTGGAACAGAGAAAAATGAGCACATGGGAAATTAGGGATATAGCCTCTAAAAACAAAACATACATGTGATTTTTATATATTTATCATTTAGATACCTGGAAATGGAAATCATACATATCAACTCAAATGTTATATAAAAATTAAAGTAGCATTCACTCAGACGTGGTCATTGTTTTTCCAGGAGAAAGTAAGGCCAGAAGAAAGTGACTCAGATGAGAGAGGGAGCTGAAAGAGGGCCCCCAGCTCAATCTCCAAGATTTTCCTCTCACTGATGTCCCAAGTTTAACAACTATTGTATAGCACTATTGTAAGGGGTGTTGCCAAAAGTTTGTTCCTTTCTCCTAATGATCTGACTCAGGTGTGGCATTGACTCAGACCCTTCGCCTTGAGACAAGTATGGAACAAAATTCAAAGAGGACTTGCCAATAGCTGTGAGATAGCCCGGGGTATTACAAACCAAGGTCTCCAGACTACGTTTGCTTTTCAGGCCTCAATGAAACACTACATCCCTGAGGAAGAACACAAGATGGCAGGCAGTGCTCGAAACTCAGCTGTTTTGATTATCCAGAGAATTCTGCATGTTCCCTCCTCCTATAAACCAAACAAAGCTTAAGAAATAATCGGCCAACCTGACAAAGTCAAGTTTTCCACAGGAGCTCACATGCTAGTGGGGTAAACAAACAAATAAAAATAAACGTGCAAAATAATGTTAGGTAATATTAAGTGCTTAGAAGAAAAGAAAACGTAGAAGGGATTAGAGTGTGACAAGATTATTTTTAGATAGGATAGTCAGGGAAGGTCCTTTCTTTTCTGAGGGTATAACATCTGAGCAATGCCAGACAGCCATCCAGCTATCTAGGGGAAAATGGTCAAGGCAGAGAGAACTTCAAGAACAAAAGTCTTAAGGTAAAAATGACCTGACTGTTCCAGGAAGAGAAAAAATGTGTCAAACAAGGAAAAGTGTGGGAGTAGAGGTACAAGGCTGAGAGGCCAGGCACAAATTGAAAAGAAATGAGACAAAATCTAATTTGATGGTGGGTTGGACCACCACTTGTTAGGAAACAGTGGTAGTGTGAAATTTGGGCTATAGGTTTTTTTTTTTTTTTAATATTTTTTTGTTGGTTTAAATATACATATATATATAACATTTGCCAATAAAAGATTTTTCCCATGTGTCACAATTTAGTGACACTAATTACAATATACAACAATCACCAATATCCTTTACCAAATTTTCCATCATCATAAACAGATCCCAGTGCTTCCTAAACAACTCCACCTTTCCTTGCTCCCTCTTGTCCCTGGTAGCCATTAATAAATTATTTCATATGAAAGGATAGGGGAGTGAGAGCTGAGTGGACACCTTTCTAAATCCTTTTTGTTTGTTTAAACCATATAAGTGTATTACTTACTTTTAAAAACTGAAAAATAATTATAACTTTTTAACCTCCTTTCTTGCCTCAGACCAGAGGGATTAATCCCCATGTCAGAACCTCTTCCCAGAAATATGTACCTGCCCAAGATAAACATTTCATGCTTTAATACCAACGAGATTTCCTTAGTATATTGGCCAAAATACATGTGAAGTTAGTGTTAAAACACCTAGTTCATTAGAGTAAATTCGTCTTCACAAAATTAAAATAACATCAGAAATATCTGATTTCCCTAAAAATATGGGGAAAAAAGCTTCTAAAAAGAGAATAGTTTACTGTCTAAACTGAAGTCTGAGTCTTAAAGCAAATAGGTTTCTTTTTGTTTTTCCTACACTTAAAGATCTCGATCTTCTGATCCCAAAGAAAATATGGTCAACCCTGTTGTTAGGGGTCACCAAGTCATCCTGACTCACTGCAACCCCATGCACAACAGAAACAAGTCCTGCGCCATCCCCATGACTGGTTGCTGGTAGGGTCGTTGTGATACATAGAATGTTCGCTGGCTGAGTTTTGTTAGTACATTGCCAGGCCTTTTTTCCTAGTCCATCTAAGTCTGAAGCTACCCTGAAATCTGTTCAGACAGAACAGAAGAGTGGCGGCTGCACAAGAAATACATTGACCAGAATCTATCATGGGTCTTCCGCATATGAAAGGGGAATTCTAAAGCTGAACCATGATAAAACTAACCAGTTTTACTTTCTGTAATATACATTTGATTTAACTGTTTTAAAATCATTTGTAACACTATCTGAATAAATCACCTAAGACATAAAACAAGGACATGAAAACTTCAAAAATTATTAGCGGGTTGGAATAAATGACTCAACAATAAGCAAACCTTTTTGTCTTTACGGTGCACTGTATTCTAAGACTTTAAAAGTCAACCGTATAAGTTGTGGGTCAGAGGGCAATTTTCCGTTCTTAGTAATACTGTAGAGTTTATAACAATTCAACTTTTTGTTAGGACAGACATTTTTCTTCCACATCAGAGATCTGCCGAGAGGGGGTTCTTTACAAAGAACAAACAAGAGTTCTCCGTGCCTTATAAATGCCAAATGCAACAACCCCCCCCCCCCAACTGTCACTGGGGTCCCAGGCCGAACGAGGGCAGGTTGGGTTACACAGCCTACGACTTCCGGGTCCCAAGTCTCTTCACGAGTGGTGCTCAGCCTGGATGAGGGGTGGGATGGGAGTGAATTGTGGGGGTGAGATGAACTCCAAAGCCAAGGAGAGGGGCGGCTGGTTGCAAAGTGAGGCAGGGCCGGGGCGGGTAACAACGATCTACAAATGGCCCGGCCCAAATCCGTGTGGTCCCAGCCCCCTAGGCGGCCCGCAGGCCAGGATCGCCCCCTCTGCCTCGGTCCTCATCCCACCCGACAGACACTTACTGAAAAACATTTTCCGCGTTATCCATGTCGACAAGATACCAGCCAGCAGCAGCGAACCGGCGTCGTAAGCTAAAACTCACTGCTAATTCAAACCTCCCGCGCAGCCGCAGTCTGCGCGCCGAACGTTTGCGGAGTGCCTGGCCATTGGCTCGGCTGCAGAGGGGCTGGCCAATTGCCTAGATCGTGGCCGAGAAACCAAGTCCCGCCTCCTTCCCGCGCCTTGCCCCTCCTCCCATCTCCTATAGCCGCGGGGTTGAACTGAAAGCTCCAGGCGGGCGGAGGGAGGAGAGGGTTACAGATCTGCGACGCGTCGAGTGGCACTAGGTGGGCATAGGCATAGGGAATTATTTTTACTTTTGTCTTATTTTAGCCGTTCAGTATTCATCTGTTTTATATGACTAACTCATGTGGGAAAAAGCGTGCCTCGGTAATTGATTTCTGAAGATTCAGCCACTTCGTCCTCTTAAGTATGTGAACTAGAATCATGTCTGGTTCAGAGAAGGAAGAAAAATAATCCCGTTTGTAGGATGGAGGTTATCGTTGCATAAATCGGCAAAGCCCAGGGGATACTGCAGACCTATGGTTTAGGAGATAGGGAGATAGGCAGGTGTGGAGAAAAAAACGGAACGAGAGGAAGGGTCAGTCACTTCCTCATTTCTGGCAGTTTTCTCTCCAGCGTCTCCGCTGTAATAAAAACCCAAATACTGAAACAAATGAAGTCTTAGTCCAAGACCCTAAAATAGTGTGGAAGAGTTGGGGCTTGCCCTTAGGGCAGAGCATGTAGTATTTATGGTTCAACGAAACCTAAATGGTTTTTCCTTTAGTGATTGACTGTACAGCGTGAGGGCAAGTGTTGTTGTTATTTGCCATCAAGTCAGCCCTGACTCATAGCGACCCCTCCTTGGGTTTTCGAGGCAGTGTCACTACGGAAGTAGGATCACGTTAACTATAGACCGTTAGTACATCGTATGTGAAGATGATGTGTTAGTACCTTTGTGGACTTCCAGTCTTGATTTAACTGATCTGAAAGGCTGTATGGGTGCCCCGGAGCTAATGAGGGCACAGAGGGGTAGGGCTGTTCCTACATTCAGCTTTTAAAATTGAACTGAAGAGTTTGGGTAGATTATAGAGTGCCAACAGGAAAATTTAACATCTTTTGTGAAATTAGGAGCTCTGGAGACCAAGTTTTGTAGAAGAGTCCCAATGTCTTAAGAAGGAATATGTAATATGCTTCCTACCTAGAAGTAAGTTGGAAGAGTTACCTTTTAGCCTTCTCTTTTGTCTTTCTGCCCCTTGATCTTTACTAACTTCCTACTCTACCTCTCAGAGTTGTTTCAAGGACCACTTGACAATGCAAGTAAAATATAAAAAGCTCTTCATGAGATTACTTCCTTTTAGGGATGCATATGGATACTGTTTCAGCTCCCTTAGGCCTCTTAAGTGAAATGCTTTTAATTTTTTAGCAACTTCTGGAAATCCTGGTGCTCTCAAAGTCTAGAATTTCCTTACCTTTGTTGATCAGCTTTGATCTGCACAAGTGTCCAATGGGGGCTTTAGACAAATGCTAGGTCCTAGTAACCAACACAGGAATTAAGACCTTTTTGTCCCGCCAACTCAAGTTTTGTGTCTGATAGTGGGTCAATCAGTAATTAATTTGGAAATTTAGATAGAGTATCCATTGTATATTAGGTACTATTAGATTCACACCTAATTACAACCTTGTCTAACTTAGATTTTATCCTTAAGAAACAAGTGCTTTTATCTGGGAAATCAAGATACAGACATAGAATACAGTTTAAAGGCAATACATAAGTACATAGGAACTCTGGTGGCCTAGTGCCTAAGGCATCTGACTGCTAACCAGAAGGCTAACGGTTCAAATCTACCACCCACTCCTCAGAAGGAAGACTGGGCAATTTACTTGTCCTGAGATGGAATTCCAGGTGTGAATAATAGTTATAGAGAAGTCCTAAAGGACTCCTGTTGATGAATAGTAGGAATTCTTTTGGAAAGACTAAATTGATATTTTTATGTCAGTCTATAAATGCTAGAGGAGCTCTGGTGGCATAGTGCCTAGGGCATTTGACTGCTAACTAGAAGGCTAGAGGTTGAAACCCACCAGCCACTCCTCAGAAGGAAGATGGGGCAATCTACTTCCGTAGTGATACTGCCTCGGAA